TTTATATTATTAATTATATTTAACAAGATATATATTTAATTACTAATAGGATAGTGATCCTAGTGTAATGGTTGGGTTGTCATCCTCCAAATGGCAGGTCTAAGGTTCAAATCCCACTTACAATGAAATTTGGAAATTAACCTATATTACAGCAAACTGTCTCTTAACAATTAGTTGGATTTGTGTATCTGTAACCTTAAGTCGCATCATCTCAAATGAGAGCTCAGGGCATCTATGCCAAGTATAACATTACACATATATAGAAGAATGTTAATAACTAACGTTGCATAAGACTTTAGTGCAAACCTATGATAAGACCACTGGGTGCAGTAAACTAAGAAACCAAAGAGTCAGAAGCCTACTTGGAAATTCACGAGTAAAGAGATAGCATGAACTTTTGATAGTATGGTCAGAACGATGGAAGCCCATAAAACACTCCCAAAGGGATAAGTAGATAAACCAGATGTCAAGATGTGTAAAAGAGCACATGACCAACCAGGCTACCAGAATCACTAGAGGAAAAAGATATATAAGTATATCATACTAGGCTATCTGGATTGGAAGTCAGGGGAGTCCTGTCAGTCCTGAGTAGCAGTTAGTAAAAGATAATGGAGAAGATGTCGTGATGATAGATACTGAGGTTCTAGTGAACTTTACAAGAGTAAAAATAGTATAACATAGTAGTTAAACAGGTAACCCCTATGACTGCAAGTATTAGGTAACTATAGCGTGTTGCATAAAATTAGATCAGCTATGTGTGGAACATGGAAGGTTCTAGTAAGTTTCCTGTTGAGAATAAACTAGTCCTAAGAGTACTTGAAGGCATCAGATACTTTGGATAGGTGTAGCCTTGAAGATGTCTTTGTGAGACATGGTGGACTACATATGCAGAAGGTTTAAATAGGCAAGATCTATAGTTAGCTTGCAGGTATAGCACCTAGTGTAGAACCTGTATAGTAATATATAGGCAGACTACTTAAATTAGGCACCAAAAATGCACGTGTAGCTAGTTGTAATCTCCAATGTAAGGGAGCCCCTGGAGGCACCTGTGTTTAAATACATGAATAAAAACATTAACTCCCACAGACAGGGACTTTAACTCAAAAAAAAAAAAAATTTAATTACTAATTAAATTTATAGAATGATAAAGTATTAGCTATAAGTAAACTACATTGTGATATTTTATATAATAGACAAATTAGGAAAGCTCATAAATTGGATAAAAAATTTCAAAAATTATATATTGCTAAACCAATTACTCAAAAACAATTATTTATTTCAGAAAATACTCAAGATTTAAGTAATATTAAGGATAAACTTATTAATAATGAATATCTTAATAATAATAAACAAGATTGTTTTACAGATAATAATAGTGAGCTTGTTACAAAATATAAAGAGCAATAGAATATATTAATTAATAAATAGTCAGCTATAAGTGAACAAGAAAATATAAATAAAGAACAGAAAATTAGTGAATTAAATAAAACAATTCATCTAGCTGATAATAGAAATGTCAAATAGGCTTTAGATACTTTATTTAGTTCAAATTTAGAACCTCTTTCATTTTTAGACATATATTATCTTTATAAATAATATCATATATAAATTTTTATATTTATTTTTTATTATTTAATATTAACTTACAATATAAATAATATAACTTTTTAGTTATTTTAAATTTGAAAATTATTAAATATATATTTTTATATATATCTATTTATATTATTTAGTTTTGAATTTGTGTGCTTTAATAGTTTTGATTAGTCATATCTAAAATTTAAAAATATAATATGTAGCAATAGTATATAAATAAGCTATTCAAAAATATAATAGTATGTGAAATATATGGGGGGGAGTCAATAGAAAAGGAACAAATTTTTTTTAAATAAAAGTTTTCTTGACTTTAAGCTTAAATATCTCAACAAATATTTTATTAAATTTGATAATTTTTTATTTATTTTAATTCTATATAATTTTAAGATTAAAATAAAAAAAGTTTTAGCAGATTTAATTAAATAGTTGTTGAGTTATTTAAATTTAAAAATTAAAAAAATTTCACTAAAAATAATTTGTCCCTTTTCTATTGACTCTTCTCCATATAATTATAATATCAGGTTTAGAGATAAAATTCTTTAAATATCTATTATAGCTATTTAATAAATATTGTTATTAGGCAAAATAGTGAGTCAGTTACTTCACAATCCAAATTTTTGTTTAACCTACAGTTGGCTTAGTTGTAAAGAGGTGTTTAGATTTGGTTAGTAGTTTTGGTTCATAGGTAAGTATTCTTTTTTTCTTGTCTTATGTTTTTCTAATCTTGAGCTGATTTTCAATTATCTTACTATGTCAGGTAATTGAACAACACATATAACCATACTATCTTCTGTCTTTTGGAATAATGGAATAATACAACCATGGCTAATTCTGGTACTTTAAGGTACAACAGCTAAATAGGATATAACAATACTATGAGTAAAAGAACAGATAATTACAAGAAGCAGGTTTTTATAATCTGAGAATTTAGTGATTAATTAATGTATCAAGGAAGACATTTATGTATTTATTATAATGTAAGAGATTAGTTATTATTTTAATAAACAAGAGACCAGTCTTTTCTTTTCCTAGAGCCTTCATGGCCTTTATTTATATTATAATTCTTTATTTATATTTGTTATTTTATATATACTACAACTACTATGTCTGCTATTTCTATTATATTTGCATTATTCTTAACTCATATATACTTTTCTGACATGCCTTTGTGCCCTATATAATTTACATAGCTGAAGTAGCCTAAGTGGGCTGGGTTATCCTAATTTGAAGTAGCTATAGTTACATGGCATGTGACTTTTCCAGATAACAATATTTATAGTTTTAGTTATTTGCAAATAATATTTAGATTTTATATAAATACTTAAATAACTAAATAGTAGATTTCAAAGTTAAAATTAGAAAATCATATTTTATTTTTCTAATTTATAATTAAACATAGTAAAAATGCTATTGAAAAAATCCAATTTATTTTCAAATATATTACTTATTTGTTAACTTTGAAATCTCAAGTTTTATATGAATTTTATATAATAAAATATTTACTTTTAATTAAGTATTTATTTTTAAGTACTATTTATTTTCTAGGATAGTGGGAATAATAAAATATCTCTTTAGCAGTATATGTAGGTTGCTTTGCATCTTATAAATTTGTTGATAGGAAAATATTTCAATTATTTTCTTAGTATAGTAGAATAAATATATTATTTATCATTTTATATAATAACATTATAGTAACTTGTGTCACTAATTATTTTTATTATATTTTTTTTATTTTCATTTACATTTTTAAAATTTTTAGAAATAAAGCCTAGGCAGATGATTAATAAGTTTGAAGAAATAACATAAGAAAAAATAAAATAAATCTAAGATAAAAATTGTGATTAATAATATTAAAAATACTATAATGTAATTAAAATAAAATAAGAAATAACTGTAAATAGTACTTGCTATTAAAGTAATCAATTATATATTTATAAATTTACTATATTAAAGGTCATAAGTCATATTAATTTTTAGTATTACCAAATAGTCATATAGGTCATAAAGGTCATATTGGTCATTTAAAGTCATTGGCCAATACTGATGATCAGTAATTGTAGTCAATTTGACGTTAGTCGACTTTGTGACATGTTTCTATTTTTAGATACGTTTGAACCAATGATCACCTATTTCTAAACAAGACTTACATTTCGAAAGCAATGTTAATATTTTATACGTATGCTAGATCTTTAAAAGATGGACGACGACGACTACATAGATGAGGTCTTACGATATGAAGATGAAATATATAATGAGAAGGCAGAGTCATCGGAAAGGTATATATATATTAGCAGAACATCATTTCATTTCAAATTAACATTTTATTCAAATTTATCAGTGAAGAAGAATTCTTGAAGGATCCATCGATCATTTACGGTCAGCTATATTACTCGAGCGAAAAGCCAAATCTGACTCCCGGCGGAATCATTGTTAAAGGTCAGGAGTCTACAAAACATGTTCCAGAAGTGCGTCAAAATAACAAAGAGGATCAATCACCAGAAGAGTGGATTTTATCAGTAAGTAAAACTAAAAATCATTCACATTACGTTCTTCCCCGTGTTGGTAGCAATAGATGAATAGAACAATAGAATTTAGAATAGAATAAATTTTTTGTCAATAGAACAAAAAAAATTGCCAACAAGATTATAATTAGATATTAATATAGCAATAAATAAATAGGACAATAGAATAGAGCAATAGAAATTAGAATAGAAGAGAATTTTTATCAATAGAACAAGAAATTGACAACACTGATTCTTCCGTATAGTGGTGATAATGTGATGTTTCTTCAACTGCAAGAGTATGCTTCGCAAATCTTCATTCAACAGATTATCCAAGTACTTAATGACGAAATTACAAATAGAGTTAATGATATGCACGATGTCAAATATTTGAGTTCTTGATCGGATGTTTCGCGAAATTTGCACCAACTGTTGACAAAAGCTTGCATATTGCGGGTTTTAAACTCAATATTTTTATTATTTGTTCCCAGGCAACACAAAGTACGGATAAATGTGTAATGTGCGAGTCAGAGGATCACAGTTCAAGTATGTGTGAAAGAACGACACATCCCAACAATGATGAGGTAATATTTTACTTATTATCACCTTTATTAATCAAAATATAACCTATACATATACATAATATTAGGCAATATGGCGACGTTACAAGATACAAATAGGTGTCGTTCCGCGACCCATTACCTACGTTAGTTGCTTTAATTGTTCTAGTAGCAATCATGGAGGACGTGTATGTATAATATCTTAATTGAACACCATTTACTTGAACTTTATTAATTGCAATGATTTTATTTGCTGATTCCAAATACTATAGGATTGTCCGGATTATTCCCGTTATAAGACTAATGGACGCACACGGAATGATTCCTCAAGATCTAAGCCTGCAAAATCTTTGCGAAATTAATACTCAACTTACGAAAATATAATGACATCCATGTAGCATCATTCCATACAACTTTAAGGATTACTATTTGTGTACTGTAATCCTCACATCATTATAATAAAAAGTAAAATTTTTAATAAAGCGATAATTCATAGTTTTGTTAGACATGTGATCATAGAAAAATATGATGCTCGTGTTCGATCATTGGATGAAATAAATATTCGTGTAACCATTGATGTTTATTTACACGTTAATTTTTCGTATGTTTTCGACTCTAAATAATCATCTAAAGTCTTTTCTCACATTTTAATGCGAAAGAAATATTGTCAAACTGGCGACCACATACTTTCCTTCAACACCTCCTAGACAACCTACTACACCTATTCGAAAACGTACACCGCGTACACGTTTGAGCACTCCGACACATTCACGTGTGACGACACCTACTACTGCGCGCACTAATAAGTCAATCAAGTCTGTAGCCTCTTCACCAACCTCACCACTTCAAAACAGCAATTTAATTAGAAGGTTCAAGTCGTGTAAAAAAAAAAGTCCAAGGTCTTCCTTCAAAAAGGAGGCAGTAAAATTGGATGTTATTGCAGACGACTGGATAAGCGTTTGTAATACTCCTTCTAAAACAAAAAAGGTCAGACCTCAGGTTTGTACTTTTGTGCAGAAATGCTATATGAATGAATTGTGAAAACGATTGTTTTTAAAACGCGCTAATTCCGTAAAAATTGTAAAAATTCTAAATGTATGCAGTGTGATCGATTTATCCCCACTCGTGATATCATGGGAGATCCATCGAGCCATTTCAATACTACACATAGAGAATCAGGGAAAGAACAATATTTGGATAGTGCAGATCTAGAATATCAAGAGAAACTGGCAGAGGCTTGTGGTATTGCGTTTGAAAGACGAATTTTGCAATTTAGTGCACCACCAACTGGAAAAGAGGATTTAGGTCAAACATATGGGCAACGTTCCAAGAAATTTACTACATCAATTCAATTGAAAAGACGAATACCTACTGTTCCTGAACGTATTCTTGATGCACCGGGTATGATAGATGATTATTATTTAAATCTGTTGGATTGGAACGTTAAGAATATGTTGGCCATTGGACTTGATCAGAATGTTTACGTCTGGAACGCCGATACTGGAGATGTGAGAACTATTGCTCAGACAGAAGCTAATGATTATATTTCTAGTTTGTCATGGTCTCACGATGGTGAATACTTGGCTGTAGGAACAAGTGATGGAGACACTCAAATATGGGACATCTTGAGAGAACAAAAAGTTCGATCAATGGCAGGACATAATGCTCGTGTTGGTGTTCTAACTTGGAATAAATATCTTGTTTCTTCCGGTTGTAAAGATGGTAGTATTTGGCATCATGACACTAGGATTGCACAACATAGAATCGCAGAACTACTCGATCACGCAAGTGAAGTTTGTGGGTTGAAATGGAGTCATGACGGAGAACAATTAGCGAGCGGAGGTAATGATAATCGCGTCAATATATGGGATGCGAGGTCAAGTACGCCAAAATTTACAAAAAATAACCATCTTGCTGCGGTTAAGGTAAATAGATCAAAAATGGCAATTGTTTTTTTTAATGCTAATAAATATGTTGATTATGTTTAGGCTGTTGCATGGTGCCCATGGAAAAATAACCTTCTTGCTACGGGTGGAGGTTCATTTGACCGCCAGATTCATTTCTGGAATACAAGTTCGGCGGCCCGTCTCAAATCAATTGATACGGGATCTCAAGTTACTTCAATAATTTGGTCAAAAGAATATCAAGAACTCTTGTCTACACATGGATTTCCAGAACACCATATGTCTATTTGGTCTTATCCTAAATGTCGAAAGATTATCGACATTCAAGCTCATGATACTCGTGTTTTGCATTCAGCCATGAGCCCTGATGGACAGGTAGTGGCTACGACTGCGAGTGATGAAAATCTGAAATTTTGGAGAGTTTTTCAAAGTCAAAGCAAAAATGATAGATCTAAAAGTGTTAAGGAAAATGGATCAAGTGTATATTCTGGTTTACTTATTCGATAGAGAAAACTGCATAGATTAAAAATAAATAATAAATGATCGGACTATATATTCTTACTTTACGTGTCAAATGAATTATGAAATTTATCGTTCGTTGCAAATCGCCAATCTTAGCCTTCCACACATCGTTAATGAATTATTTGCTTTCATGTGAATTAATTTTTGTTTAGAGATGCAGTAAAACTCGAACGAGGGTGGTAAATAGATTTTATCACTATTGATTAAATTGGTGAAATTTTACCAGCATTTATCATTTGTTATAAAAATATAAATTCTATATTTATTCTATTCTGTAAGCCAAAAGGAAACGTGATCTATTGTTTGTTTACTTTGTTGTTTACATGTTTCTGTGCAATCTAATCTGATTAGCTGTACAGGGACTTTAACAAATTCTTAAAATTTTCAAAAAAAATTTTAAGAATTAAATTGTTATTTTGTATTTTATATCTCAACTAAAAAAAAGAATGTTTTAGTAAACTTTATGTTATTTTTTTGTTTTTTTTCTTTTTTTTTAAGGTATTAGAACAAGTTTTTAAGTTGATTTTTGTTTGCTGTTACTATTTTTGTCTTGTTTGTTTTTGAAAAAAAGAATTAGTAAGAAAAGTATAAAAATTTTGGATCTTTAAATTCTATTATTTTTTATTTTTAGTTTTGAAATATATATATATATATTTTTTTTTGGTATTAAGATGAGGCCTTGCTCATATCTTTATTAGTAATTTTAGTTATACATATTAATATAATATATACTAAGATATACTAAGATTGTAAACTACAAAATAAAAATTACATACAAAAATTAAAGCTCAGACAGTTTTATTTGTAACCTAAACTGAGTTTTGAAATATATAATTATTATTTATATTATTTATTAATTATTATGTTTTTTAAAAGTATAATGATCTAATTAATTTTGTCAATTAATTGAATTGGTGTATTTGTAATCTTTAATTATATTATTTTGAATAAAAGCTTGGAGTATCTATATAAAATATAATGTTATATATATATAAAAAAATGTTAATAACCAATATTGTATAAAATTTCAATACAAACCCATAATAAGATTATCAGATACAAAAATCAAAGAAATTGAAGAGTTGTAAACTTACTTGAAAATCCTAAATAAAAAAGTAATATAAAATTTTAATAATATTGTTGGACTGATAAAATCTATAAAATGCTTTTAATAAAAAGAGACAAATAAATCAGATGACAAGATGTATAAAGAAGTATATAATCAATTAGATTGCTAAAAGTGTTAAAAAAAAAGATACTAAAATATATTATCTAAATTAAAAGTCTAAAAAGTCTTGTTATTTCTTAGTTGCAGTTAGTAAAAGATAATAAAAAAGATCTTAAAAAAATAGATACTAGGTTTTAGATAAATTTTATAAAGATATAGCAGTTTAATAGTTAGTTTTTATTACAAGTACTAGTTTAGATCAATTAATATCAAATTAGTTGTAAATATAAAATACAGAAAGTTTCAGTAAGTTTAGTACAAAGTTAAATATAACTTAGTGATCATAATATATCTTTATTAGTTTATTAAAATTGTTAATAAGTAATGTGAATATAGAATTAGAAAGTTTAAATAAAAGATCTATAAGTAGGTTTTAGATATAACAATTAGTATAAAATCTTTAAGCAGACTACTTAAATCAGACAATAACTAAAGTTTTTTTTTTTTTTTGGTATTAAGGTAACCTCTTTAGTCTTTTGACTTTTATTAATCACTTGTCAGTATTGTGGTTCAATGAACTACTACAAGAGAGCGTACAATTGGCTATATGTATAACTTTTCTATATTACTTATTTAAAGAGTCCACCCGAAGGTTCCCTACCAATTGCCGTACCTAACACCCTGACAGCTCCAGAATGTAGGTGAGATTTTCCAGGTCATGTGAAAAATTGGTCACTGACTACTATCAAATCATCACATGATCGTGCATAACATTTAACATTTTGAATTAACTACAGTTTGCAAAAATTATACACAAATCATAAACCATAATATTTAGAGATTGAATCTGGGCAAAATTGTTGCTATGATTATTCAAAATACATAATAATTTATCTGGGTAATTTAATAATACTCAGGTAGAGATTTTCTTAACAGATCCAATCTCTAATAATATGTAAGAGAAACCAGACACTGGGCTTTTAATTATATTTGGGCAAAATAAAGTCTAATTTATTAGATTGCATCTAGTACAAAATGCCTAATGATGGCTTTCTCTTAGTAGATCTATATTTAAAATTAATAAATTATAACATTAATAAACATGTCAAAAAGTTCAATCAAAAACCTTTATTTATAAAGATATAATCGAATTAACATCATTTAATAGCCTATTTGATGTTAAAAAAATTAGCAAAAAAGGATTTGGTCTGTACATTCAACAATGTGGACAGATAGTATATGAAAAATTAATAGTTGTGATTATAAGTATATAAAAGCAGTTCTAAGAATAACAATTTTAATTATTTAAAATTAATTTATTGCATAAAAAAAATATAATGCAAAGTAAATTTAAATTAAATGAATCATTTATCAAAATCGATTACTTAATAAATGATTACATTAATGAATAACTTATATACTTACCAATTAGGCTGGAATAATTAAAGTGTTATGTAAATTGAACCGGTTATTTTAAATACATCAATAAAAAAATAAATTAGATAAGATATATTATATTCTAACTCATTTTAAATATATAGATAAATAATTATACTTACAAATTATAAAATTGCCAATTAAAATAGGGCATATTATTGTAATAAGAACTAAGATATTTAACATTCTAAATAAATTAGCATGAAATAAATAAGATAAATATTTAGATCTTAAATAACCTATTTTAAACGCTAAAATAAATATTCTATCCTTAACTGCTAAATTAATAAGAATAAAATTAGAAAAATTTTAATTAAAGTTTTTTTTCAAATGTATTTAATGCAAAATACTAATACCTGATGGATCATCAGTACTGTTCCTGATGAAATGAAAAAAAAATTGATTTACATACCATTCCTGATAGAATTATAAGATAACGCATAACATAAAATTCAAAAAAAAAAAGATAATTAGCATACTATCATTTAATAATATTTTTCAACACAATATTCTTACCAAATTCACACGAAATAATGCATATGGATGTTATTTTAAAATATGTAATTCAAAGAAAGCTAATATTTAATTTAGTTGAACATACTATAATTTAATGTTAATTCTTTTGCTAAATTAATTATTAGCTCCTCAAATTATGTGTCTTGAATAACGCTTATAGAAGTTTTTCGTATAGATTCGGTACTGTAGTATTTTAAGACCAATACTTAGGCAAGTTGAAACCAACATTGTAAATTAATTATGGGTTATGACTTAGTATTTGCATTATAACTAAGCATCATTATGAGAATCAACTTCGGGTCTTTTAAGAACCCTATCAGGAATGGTATGTAAATCGATCCCATCAGAAACAGTACTAGCAATTCATCAGGAACAGTATTTTGTGTATTCAAATACATCGAGATATTGGTGTAATAATAAATAATGATAAACTTGGAAAAGTTTATTCAATGCACCGATTAATAAATAATCTTTAACATCTACTAAATTAATAAAAACTTAAATTAGATTCAATAATTTAAATGTTAACTTTACGCCAGATAAATAATTATTTATACTTACTCAACTAGATTATTCATAATAAATGTTAAAAAATCTTATATAAATGCAGCAATGTATTAATCGAATTATTGATACAAATTTATTTGCCTTATACTTACACTTTAGAAATAACAACATAAGGTAATACGAATAATCCTTAACAACTCGATTTCTAGTATAATAGTTCTGTTTCTTATATGATATGAACAACCAATTTTAATTCTTATGCCTAAGGCAATCGAACCCTAGACGTAAAAAAGTTAAATATTAGCAAGAAAGTAGATGACTCGAAAGAAAAATCAGTTTTTGGACCTTTAAATTTATAACTTACTGGACCCTATTCTTGGAATTTTAATAGGTTGAGTCCAAAAGTTATAAATTTAAAGAGCCCAAAATCTGATTTCTCTTGGCAACCAAATATAAGAACTATCAACTAACAAGGAGTATAGTTAACGATGTTAATGCACATATAGTAGATGTTAGTTCAAAGTCTCATTTTGTAGAACATTAAAAAAAGAAGATAAATTAGTATAGATCTTTATTTTAAGTAAAATAAAAATACACAAATGCCAAAAATGTTACTGTGCTAAATTTGTCTTAGCATAATACAATCTTATGCCAATGCTTTAGAACAAGAAATCTCAATACAGTATTATAAAGCAAAGAGATCAATAGTAAATTGAAAACTTTTTTTGTGCATTTAGCACATTATGCACATAAATTCGATATAGGTATAACTTTCACATGAGTAAGTGTAGAATTTGTTAGAGATTCCATGTGGTCATGAGTTTTGTGAAAATTCGACATGTGTACATATGTATGTTTGTTTGTTTGTATATATGCAATATGTGTTTTATGTTCTATATGCCATATTATCAATGTTCCAATTTTTATTTACCTGTTATTTGGAACAAGCACATGGCAGCATAATGCATAAATTAGTGGGACCAAATGGAAACTATACAAATTGCAGTTGATGGTTGAATTATCATGATATATGCGCATTGCAGCAAAGCCACAATGCTATAACTATATGACCATATTATCAATGTTTCAACTTTTTATTTACCTGCAATTTGGAACAAGCATACCTTTAATATGGTGACATAGTGCATATATATGCATAAATTAGTGGAACCAAATGGAAACTATACAAATTGCTGCATATAGCTATGCCAGTCAAATTACCATAATATATGTACATTGTGGCAAAGCTGCAATGCCGCGATTCAATAATTTACCATCAACTATGCATTAAACTCACGTAAAAAGAATGAAATACACATATTCCTATTTTCATTAATGAAATAACAAAAGATATTATATATAAGTAATTTCTTATAATTTCAAGTGTCTATAAAAAGACTGATTTTTACCTTTAAGTTAATAGAAAGTTATCGAGTTGTTAATAGTTAAAAAAAAAAAACCTACAATTAAAATAAAACTTCAGTTAATATCTTATATTACGTGATTACTATTTTAATAGCAAAACATGAATAGTAATAAATCATGTTCTTTGTGCAAGTGCACTTTATTACATCCAGAGGCATTTATTTTTGAAAACAAGTCTTACAAGACATGTGCCAATTGCTTAACTAAGAGATTCAACAAGAAAGCAGAGAAACGATTTCTTCCATCGGATAATGACTCTGAAAGCACTAATATCAGAACAGAAAGTCAATCAGAAAACAATACAGACAAAATTGCCTTTATTAATATTATAGAATATATTTCTAATCAAAATTCTAACCTTGAAGAAGACTCAGGCATTTCTTTTAACTTGCACATTAAAATTGATGATAATATACTAGCAAATGCACAACATGATACAAAACTTTTGGTAAAGTTAATAGTAGACGAGATTGAGGAAGGTAACAGGTATAACTGGACATAAGTAGTTTTTAATCTTTAATTTAAATTCTAAAAAATAAAAATTAAAAAAATCAGTTATCTCTAATTACAAGCTACTGTAGTATTGTAATATATATATATTTTTTATTAAAAGTCTTAATTATTTTTTTGTATTCATAGATTTACAACTGGGCCCACTAACTCAGTGCATCATTCCGGAGTAAGTAAATTCTACTTTGCATATTCTTAGTGCTGTGAATTAGAACGTGAGTATAAAAAATCGAATCGTAAAAGGATGGACTGCTTTAATTGTCATGGCAAGCTAATTATTGGTGTAGATATAGCAGCAAAAGAAGCAAAGATAAAGCTTAATCATGATATTTAGCATGAAAAGCCTGTAGATATTACAAACCAGAAGAAATAAAATGTGAAATTATACATAACCTTCACATGGATCCAGTGCAGCTAAGAACACATATTCGTCAAAGATTTGATGCTTTACAGGTTACTTCAAAACAGATCAATTACTGGTGGTCCACTTTTAATCAGCAATTCTTCAAGCTAGACGAAGATCCATTTATTTCCATATGTTGATTTTTAGATAATCTTAACAATAAGGGCGAGTTTTGTTATGAGTGGAATGATGAATCAGTTACAGCAATTGGATTTATAACTCCATTATTAATTGAAATCTTACTTGTGTCAAGTATTCATTGTAATGCAACATACAAAACAGCCAAAGGGTGGTTTGAACTTTATGGCATAATCAGTAGCACACATGGTGCAGGATTTCCAGTTGCATATCTAATGCTGAACACCACAAATGCATCTGATAATGCTCAAATGGGGCTAAGGACAAAGGCACTCACAGGTTTTCTTTGCTCTCTTTGCAATAAAGGATTGTAGCCATGACACTTCTTCACAGACAAAGACTTCGCTCAGATCAATGCTGCAAAGGAAGTATGGCCTAATATTAATATGCAACTTTGTCTGTAGCATATTGAGAAGGCAATAAGAGAAAAAATTAGAAGCTGCAAAAAAATAAAACAAACCCAGTATCGACCAAGTGAAGCAGTTGAAGAGTTTAATTTTATCAACCCCACCTTCAAGCCTAATTTAAATCGTACAAACCCTGAGCACTATATTATATGTCCAGTAGAACTACAGAATGAAGTTGTTAACCTTATTAAAAAACATTTCAACATGCACCCAAAAATACCAGTTAATGCTGCCGAGCTGTTTTTAACAGCTAACAAAATCTGTAGTGATGCAGTCCATGAAATATATGGTTTCTGCTTCAACAATGACCTTGTACTTCTTTGGGCATACTTGTGGTCCAAATAGTATAAGATCACAAGGTGGACACTGTGGGCTCGGTTATCACAAACAATTATTCCAATTAGTAAGACAAATATGTTAATAGAGTCACATTAGAAAGTTGTAAAGTGTTGTTACCTTTATTGCTTCAACAGGCCATAGCTTAATTATGTTGTGTAGATTATTTGTACATGCCTCCTTTCTGACCAACTAATTTATCTTTATCAAGTGTGCCATGGGTGCATTACACCATCTTGGTTTGAAGATTTCAAGATAGATTAGAATCAGCTCACTGCAATACCAATTGATGATTATGATTATACCTATTATTTTATTGATTCAGCACATTGGATTTGCAGCTGCCCATCATTTCTTAATTCACACTTTTTTATTTATAAGCATCTGATCAAATGTGCAACAGTAATGGCGAAACTACAAAATTCACAAGGCATCTGACTTTTGTATTGTTACAGGGTTGCAGCCTTCTTGGTACAATACAACCAAGTAACAAGGTCACCTGGTACAGTGATTGACTATTG